TAAATACGGACATCATGGCCTATCCTGTGCGTTCTCCGCAGGTAGACATGCATGCATCCGCGTCTTGGCGGACTGAACGACATCGTTTGCCGGTCCTGTGTTTCAGCAGGGATCTCTGCGAAGTTGGAGCCTCGCCGCACGTCACATACGTCCGAACAACGTCCTGATGGCTGCACAACCTTCGCTTGGCAGAGAGGCTGAGAGAGGGATGTGTCTAGCTTGGGACGTCACGTGTGTCACGGTGTGTGGGCACTGTTGCGCGTTCCCACATCAAGTACGGTGGTAAACGCAGGCGCAGCTGCGTTGGAAGCGGAAGAGAAGAAGTCGCGGCTCTACTCGTACTTGAGTGGCAGATACATCTTTGCTCTTTTAGCTTTTGAAACAATGGGCCCCTGGGGACCGTCAGCTATCGGCATTATTAAAAAACTCGGCAGACGACTGAAACAACACACAGGCGAAATGCGTTCCCATGAATTTTTACGTCAACGATTGTCACTTGAAATTCAGCGAGGCAACGCGGCATCGGTTTTGGGAACAATGGAAGGAGCAGAAAAGTTTAATGAAATTTTGATGTTGTCGAAATTTTGATGTTTTCCGTTATTTTCAGGATAAATATTTTAACTAAATAGTTTACTGTCTAATTATGACGTAAACTATTTAGTGTTTGACAAATGCATTCATTTGTTGACAGGAAGCGCCGGTGCTCCGTTGCGTTCGTCGCCTTTGATCTCGTCCTCCTCCGGATAGTGGCTGGGATCGCGCATACTGATGGCCGGAAGAGTTCGGTGTTGACGGTCGGCCGGGTGACATCGTTCTCTTGATCGAGACCTGCTTGTTCCTGGTCCTCCTTCCCGATACTGCGGAATTTCGCCTGACCTTCGAGCAGCTCACGCGGTCAAATTCCGACGTCCGCGTCCAGTTGGAAGCATGAAATTGACTCATTCGAATGATGCAAAAATATCGACGAAATCCCTACCCATTTTTTGACGAAATATCTGCGGAATATTTTGCCATTATTCTGAAAAAATATCCGTGGACTATTTTGTAATAATCTGACGAAGTATCTGCTGAGTATTTGGCCATTTTGCGAAACAAAATCCGCGGATTATTTTGCAATTTTTTTAAGAATTATCTCCGGATTATTTTGTCAATTTTGCAAGAAATACCTGCGGAATATTTTGCCATTTTTTTATGATTTGTGTTTGACATGAGAAAAGTCGAATGCGGAAATGGACATCATTTTCCCCAGCAATCTTTCGGTCGGCAGCGATGTCCGGTGATTTATGTTAACGACAGCGCGCGGCCTGCGAATTTGGGACGATAATCGTGCTTTTCTTGGAGTTTTCTTTTGTCGCTGTATTCCACCGCTTTTGAGCGTTCTGGACAGTTTTTCGGCTGATTTTATGTTAACCTTATTGTGTGATTTCTATGTTGCGTCTTCATTAAATGTTTTACTTGGTTTGATGAATAGTTATATGAATACTAACTAAGTAACAAGGGTCCTCGACACTTTGCCGTTCTACTCTATGTTCTCCCGTTCCACACATCCAATCTGCACGCTCTAAAGTGCTACAGAATCCTCTCAGTGTCGAGAGTGTTCCTGCATCATAAATTTTCTGGAAAGCTCAATCCCCACAGTCCAGTGGTCACTCAAAAGCTTGTTACCATGGTGGCCATTAGCTTAACATGGGCTTTCTGTAAATCCTCAGATTGTTACTTACTATGGGCACAGAAGCACACTCTGTTAACATCTTCCAAAAATTCAAAAGTTTGCTCGTACCTCCTTAATGTAATAAACATCGTGCCAATCAACTCAAACAGCAATTAGTTATTTCGCAGGAAACAGCAATTATTTAAATATTTATTATTATGCAGTTAACCTTTTTACATGTTCAAAATCATCAGACATTATTCATCCGCGCTGGGCTTGTATTCTATTTAAGCGCGGCTGTTTAGCTTTTATCTGGACTTACGCTGATATACTCGCATGTACGGCACCGGCGAAGCCGGTTGCCGTACATGTGAGACGCAATGCAGATGCGTTGCCGTACGCAATGCAGATTTGGATAGCTGTGACTGAATGGTGTTTCTTAATTTTTGTATCTTTCAGTTAGCGGTTAATGTTGGTCATTTTATAGTTGTTAATGACTGAAAGTGGAATACGTTAATACAAAAACATAAACTGAAATCGTGCTTAAAATACTTCGTTTTGCGACTCGATGCCTGTTTTGCCTGTGCGATGCGATTCATACATAGGAATTCTTTACCTAAAAATGATTTATTAAGGTAGTAATTTTGACCGCTAAAGGCAGGTTTAGATAATTTGGTTTTTACCGAAAGTTTTGACTTCATCTGTCGTTTACCAGATAGATATTATAAACTGCCAAAATTAAATTAATTTGATTAAGCAAAAAATTTCCTGGAAAGTAATGTAATGTTAGCAGTTAGAAGATAATGTTACCAACAGTAGGCGATCTTTTGATTTAGCTCACGTTAATGAATGGAAATTATTGACGATTATTTTGTGCATTGTGGCCACTATATGTACTACGATAACTTTCGAAATTACTTTGTAAGCTGGTGAATGCACTCATTCCAATTGGTGCAGTACTAGGTTAGAGCCGTTACTAATTAGTTGTTCTAAAAACAACGTCTACAATGATTAACGTACCAAAACTGGATAAAGAGGTTGGCTTCCAGGCGCTATTTTGCTCCACCCTTTCTCAACGCTCCACCCTTCCTCAATGACCTTTCAATTCAGCAACTCAACGTACAACAACTTCCTCAATGACCTTTCAATTCAGCAACTCAACGCAACCGGCTTCGCCGGTGCCGCACATGCGAGTATATCAGCCGGGCTTGGCGGCCCCCGCTACTGGTACGACTGATAAACTCCTATGTACGGAAGGCTTTGCAGCGCGCTCTACTGAAGTACGAGTACTACTGCGCTATTACTACTTCTACCGCTCCTAATTTACACTACTTTGCTTACTACTGAACAGCAACTACCTACTGTCTAGTGTCTACCGTGTTTCTACACTAACTACTGCCACAGCCACTAACCTACGTTGAACGGCCCAGCCGTTACGGAAGACGAAATCTTACTATTTGACTCTTAGTGCGCACACATGCAGTGCCGTTGAAATAATAGTACAACGTCTAATGAGAAATTCCGACCAGATAACGCACGTTGACGGATTGTTGACGGCGTAACAGTACAGATCGCATAATATATTTCCGTTCCACCAATTCGGTTTCATCCACAGAATAGTGTCGCAGTATGCCGTTAACAGCAGGTAACCGAGATTGGCGATAAGAAGATTATCAGGTAGAGTTGAATTGCGTGCGCAGATTCCGTTTGGTCAGGAGCAACGATAAAAGTGCGGCGTGCAACACAGAATGTGATGGTTGTTGTGCTGGTGAAGACTTTCAAACCAGCTACAAAATTCCATCGTATATTGGTAAGATTGTCGTCAAATTCCGCTGATGTCACGTTCGTTGTGTTACCAATGGCAGCCATTATGGCCCTGATGAGTTAATTTAGTTAAATTATCAGAAAATGATCAGAAAATGAAAGTGCAAAAACAAAACCCCGGAGTAAAAGTATTGTGTGTAAGTATATCAATTACAGTAGGCACCGCACAGGGATATACAGTTGTAGGTGGAGTAAGGCGGAAAATATTTTAACGAGGAGAATATTTTAAACAAATTTTCTCTTTAAACAGTGTTATTGCTGTTAAAAGTGTTAGCACGCTATTTCGCTCTTGGCATCATAATTTTTGCTGTCTAAGATATTTGTCAGATTTGGCTTGCGTAGTATTTTTCAAAGCTTTTGTAGCGAAATTCCGTTTAAATTTGATTGATTTCTTTCGATGGCCAATAATAAAAGCTAACAGTTTGTTTGTTCATTAAAGCATTTAATTTTAATCTGTTTTAAACTGAACCAGCGTACGTAGCTTCCTGGGATCGTGTTTAAAGTGCTTCGCTGCACCCAGTTCTTGCTTCTTGCAACTACCTATTATTCAAGATCACTTATTTACATAACTGGTACTTACTAATTACTGCAAAGGTATTGGCACCTTTGGATTAGCGGAAGGCGCCGGAGTCCGTGGAAATTAAAACTGCTATTCGACTAACCGAGAAAACGCAAAATATGTTTAACAAACGCCACTAATTTTGTTTCTAATTAATGCTTTTAATATTCTACGGAAATATCTCGCCTTCTGTTTCGGCGTCGGCCTAATGTGGCTAGTAATCATCGACCATACGATGTTTTACGTTATCATAACGAGGGAGATTCCCGAACACGTCCGCGTCAGATCAGCATACACTTGGTAATAATAGAATCCTTAGAAATTCAGATATTTTCTTCAAAAATCAAAACACCCCCAGATAAAGAACTCGAATTTAGGGATCTCCGAGAAGCCAACACAGGTATGATGGCTGACTTCCATCGAAACGTCAGCAGGCGCCATACGCAATGTCCAGTTGGAAAAATGTACTGAGATGAACTTACTAGTATTAGTACGGCGTAGCGATGAGCGGTATTACAAGCTTACCGTACATCAGCTACGTTGATTTGAGTTTTTTTTTAAGTCTCTCGTCAGGTCACTTAACTTTTTATCCCAGACTAGAAACGTTACAATGGTCAGTTAGAAGCGCAGATGCCGGCTTTTTCACAAAGCAATTCGATCACTCTCTTACACCACACTCATCCGATCCGACGGGATCGCATGACCCTTTCGCGTACTGTCAGTGATCAGATTACCTACTGCGTAGTCCAAGCTAAGTGCGATGGCTTATCTTTCGATGATGTAACGTTTCCTGTTGTTTTTTCATTACGCTCAGCCGAAGACTGAGCACATTTAAGTATGCAACGCTATCAAACAGCAACGAAAACGTATCCTCCAGCCCCGAGTTGTACATGTCATGCACGTATATTTTTTACCTCTAAATGTGAGCGCTTGTGCTACACTGTATGAACCTATTTTTTAAAAATTTTATCGATAGCCATTATGCTATCTCCATATCCTTGTTAACAAGGCCAGATTGTACGGTATCAGATACGGCCAGATTATGCGGTGAAAGGATTTGTATCCTGCTTGTAAATCACTACTCTATACGGTAGACGATTTTCCTGCAACTGCTTTCTACCGGAAAATATTAGTCTGTACATGTTAAGCAAATAACCTCCGCCGTAAGGGTCGCAAGGGCTGCTATTGTTTGTGTGATCTCGTGGGAAAACCAATGTTCGACTTAACACGGTATGGTCTCCTGTTTATTGTGTCGGTTTATTTAATTATTTATTGCACCTAACACACAAATTGTATCGTTTCGATACGATATAGGTATAAGTGAAATTATTTTACTTACCAAAACTCTCGGATACCGACTATTACCGAGTATCAAGTCTCTTGCAAAACCGGATTGTTAGTACACTCAGAATATGTTTTTTTTTATAGTTAGCTGTTTCTTTTATTATTATTAGTATGCACTTTTTGTTACATAATATTCTGGCTAGCTTCGAATAAGCTCCCAAAAGACCGAGTTTTGTGATAAATTAAGTTTTGTGCTGAAATTTATTAATATATGGTTGTAACTTACTGAGCTAAAATGGCTTAGTCGCTAAGAACTGCACTAATTCTAGCTTTTTTCGGTGTGTGTACTATGCAGACACTCACTCCCCATACTGTATTAAAAACCTTTCGTGGTCGTTAAATCAAGGATCGAATCAAGACTTATATTATTTGACGGCTGTTTATGCGCAGAACTCATAAGCTTACTACTTTGTATTTGAAACCTATCAAAATATCACCTGCGCACCGGTTCCGGGTATATTCAAATCAGCATCGTCGATCCCAGTTGTGATTTACATAGGCTAATTTTGTACGAGTACATTTCGAGCAAGCGCACTTGCAAAAGAGACTGCAGACCGGGCGGTCATTTAGCGGCGCAGCAGACTGCAAAAAATTATATTACGGGCCAATTGCTGATGTAAATTAATTACGCTCCTTGCCAACGTTTGACTTCTAATTTTAACCGCATCAGCACCGAACAGTGTATGACAGAGATATCCGGGCTGTCAATATTGCCGTCGCGGTCTCATGTCAGAAAGCATATTTTTCATCGGCTTGGTCCAATTTTTGGCCTGCTTGCGGCCGTTGTTTGCGTTGTAATAAGCTACTCTAACCGTAGTTGTGCGCCGCTAACCCGAACCCACGCACAAGTCAATATACAATTTCATACACGGCTGGCGCCCAGCAACTTTCACGCTGGACTGTTCCATCTCCGCGAAAAATCTCAGAAATCCATCTTAGTCAAACGGCTGTAATGGAATATTTTTACGCCTTCCGCAAAGCAACATCTTCTGAAAATCATGCTTCCCGTACAATTTATTACGATCGAAACAAGCTGATGAATAAGTGGCATAAAAATCTTATTTAAATTTGTATCTGCCAGATTAGTATCTACAAATTTTTTATATTTAATTGGCGATAAAATTGTGGATCGAAAATGTTTAGCGCGGCGATGCAGCACATGCAGGAGACCCAGATGGACCGGCGACGCTCCAGTCTGGCCCCCGGGGAGATGGTGGATGGTGGGCCGGTGCCGGCTCCATCACCGGGCGATCGTCGTCGCAGCACGGTCATCTCCGTCAGTGTCAACAATGCCCGTAACACACATGCGCCCATGAAAACCAATCTGGTAAGAAGGCATTTGTAAATCACCAACAGCCGCCCTGATATTACGTAAACGCGTATCTGTAGTTAATGGTGCGGTCTGTTTGTGGCAGCGGTATAGCTGCAATGATCCATCGACAATTTAATTAGTTGCAATGTGAGCGTCAGGTGAAATAGTTGCAACGTTATGCGTCATACGCGGTTCTATAGACGTCAGTACAGCCGCTGACAAATTATGAAACTATGTGTATCAGTACCAACGCAGCCATAACATCTCGAAGGTCACTCGTAAACAAGACGGTGATGTTGGGTTATGCTTATAATAACAGAATGTCTCCGTTGCTTATCCACAAGTCAACTTAGATTTAGTATGCTAACTGATGCTTGAAAGATTTTTGTGGATTTTCGCATAGAAGTATTGTCTAATTCTTATCCAGGACTTTTGCTACGTAGATGTCGGGTCCAGTTTCGCAGTGTCAGGTCCACTTTTGTGAGCTGGAATCTTTTGAATTCTAATCATTCCATTACTTATGATTTGGCTGCATTATTAATTTGCAACAACAGTGTACTTTATGCTCTGGACGATTGTTTGCATTATGGCCTTAATGAATCACATTGATAAGAAGGTACAATTATTGCTTTAACTGTTCGTAGTTTGTTTCAATCATTCACGCCTGTGATCAGTATTTTACTACAGGCTCTTGTTTTGGCATCAAGCATGGTTGCCTTAACAGTGTGTCGTGAAGAAGTGCTGCTGGGAGTGTATTATTGTACTGATGTCATAATATACCCAGTACATATACATTGAACAATTTTAATAAAATTAATTTTAATGCTATTGTAAAAATGCACCATAGCACTCTCATGGGCAAAAACAGGAATTCAGGTACACCATTAACTGCACCGGACAGGTATCACAGATATCACAGTACGTATTGTGGTTTGTGTTGTCTGCTAACTGGTGAAATAATTGTACCGGAGTTACAATATAGAAAAAAATAATGTATGTGCATCTAAATACTGTGTAAATTTTTTTCTTTATAAATATCTATATAATTTGATATAAGTATTTGGATTAAACTCGTAAGCGCATCACATGAATCTGACCGCATGAACTCTATGATTGTTTAAGTCCATGCGGTCGTCTAGCCCGAATATCGTAATATGAACGAAATATGATTTTTTTTGTCACAAATCGCGCTAACAAATTTTATAAGACATCATGAACTATTAAGTAATCTGTCGTAAATTGGTGAAGCGCATATATTACAGGATACGTCTAGGTTCTCCACTCTCTCTGAAACACCGGTTTCAAAATTTTTTCGCATTTAGTAGCTAGTACTAGAGTAGTGATTAGGAACAATTTTATACATATTTAACAAAACATTGTACCGGTACATACCAATTTATCACTGTAAGACTGTCACTTCATGGTATTGTACACGTTATTGTTACTGTGGTTTACTGGGAACAGCGGGTAGGCTAACTCTTCCGCTCTCATTTAATTAATTTCCGTAATTACCCATTGGTTCAGTGGTAGTGCGTTTAGGTATATGTATACTTATCAGCAATACGTATATATCAGCAATATATACGTAGCAGAAATTGCGAATATAGTATGCTTATACAGTATTACATAAGTACTGTCAATATATTTATTGTGTTTCTGATTACTTCGATCACCTATGAGTAGGAAGCAGTCCTTATGATCCTCGCTAAGCGTATCCAGCGGAAGTGAGGATTTGTGACTGTTACTAGTCGCATCAAATAAACTACAGAAAAAAAATGCAAGTACAAAGGCTGCTACGGAGTTCGTTAATAGTGTCTAGAAACTCTCCAAGCCATGAGAAGATGTAGTTCTATTTTTACTTACCGTTTTAGCATACTCTTGGGATTGAAAAGCTGTACTAGACGATCGTTGCCTGTGCGCACGCCGACTCATCGTACGTACCACTTACAGCTCCTTAACAAACTCGGCTTAAAATACAGGATGATTATTTATAGCGATATATTTATGCTAGACGAGCATCCGATTTGACAAATCACCGCAGTTGTTATGCACATACACCTACATAGTTCCATGAGCAGATCCTTGCATGCGCTCGTTTTACTGCGCTCGACATGGGCGTACCGAATTAAAAATGCCATAATACTCTTTATGACTTTATGATTTACCGTATCGACATAGTGCTTATCGAAATCTTTCGACGTTGCATTTAATTGCAACAGTTAATAACATTCTTCCGGACTGATTATTTTCATCGTAATTTAACGGCTAAGTTATGGCGCCAGCGGCAACCAAAATAGATACGAATCGCCCGGTAAACACTCGTAACACTTTACAGTTTAAATTTCCTGGTTGCAATAATTTTTAAAGGTCCCTGCTTTTAAATGTAATAATAAATTCCTGCTGTATTTTAGAGCATAAACTCCATCCCGGAGAAAATCCTGCTGCACATCTTTAACTTCCTGGAACATAAGGAAATTTGCAGACTAGCCCAGGTATCGCGTAAATGGCGCCAGATTGCCTACGACAACCGTTTATGGCAGCAAGTCTCCTTCCGCCCCGAGTTCGCCGGTCTCATCGGCGCCCCTAGTGAAGTCATCGCCAGCCAGCTCATCTCCACGCGTTTCGGCTCCCAGCTGCGCTACATCGAACTTCCCGTAGAACTGATCACCGCCCACGTCTTCAACGAACTCGCCAATAAATGCCCCAATCTCAGCCATCTGGTCCTGGATTTCTCCAACGCCATGCAGCTCCACGATTTCAACGACCTCAACGCCTTCCCGGCAAAACTGCACACCCTGTGTATCTGTTTGTCGGATGTGATCTTTATGGAGGGTTTCATGCGGAAGATCTACAATTTCATCAATTCCGTCCAATCGCTACAACTGATCGGAACGTACGAGCGGGTATCGGAAGAGGAGGAAGAAGTCCATGAGACCGTCAATATTACGAAGCTGAAGAGTCATACACCCAATTTGAAGGTCATCAATTTTTATGGGGTGAAGTTCCTGGATGACAGCCATATTGAGGCCATCTCCAGTAACTGTGTGCATCTGGAGTGTTTGTGTATCAAGTTTTGCACAAAGTATACAGGGTCGTCTTTGAAGTTGCTGATGCAGCGATGTCGGAAGATGAGTTGCCTACTGCTGGAGCAGACTAGTCTGCAGAGCCGATATCTGCAGGATGTCGAATGGGAGAAGACCAAGTTGGGAGAGCTGGACATCACATCGTGCCAGATTAGTACCGAGTGTCTGATTAGTGTGCTGAGCAGAATAAGAAATCTCAAGTGGTTTTGTGCCGGGTTTGTCGATGGATTCAACGACCAGGTATCTAAGTAAACAGCGTACATAAACATTGTTCTGCCGCATGCCAGGTATGATCTACAAATATATGCAGTGCATGGAGATATAATGTTATCGGGAGATAGAAGCCAATTTCAACAGTTTTTAATTTTTGCTTTTTGGTGTTTACTTAAAAAGCTTTACGACCTCGCATTAGCTAAATTTAAAATGGAACCAGAAACTCGCAAAAAATGGGGTAATTTTGAATAGTAGTTTTAATTTTTTTAAGAAGAGGCGTTTGGTTGCCACGAATACTAAACATGCTGATGTCCATTTTTCTAGGTGCTGGAAAGCATGATGGCCAGCGGCAATGCTCTGGCACTGCAGTCCGTGGACTTCCAGAGCTGCGATAATCTCACCGAGGAAATGCTATTTAAATTCCTGGAAGCGCATGGCTCGCAGCTCGTGGGCTTGAATCTCTCCGGTATACCGCCTTTGGTGGAGCATTTTTGGACGCAGAGTATTCCGTTTCTGAAAAAAATTAGGTTGGTATCCGAAACTTTTATTAATGAACAATTAATAAAATTATTATTACTGAACAATCGTCTAATTTTCCATTCCCCGTGAAACTAAGTTTAAGGGAAGTGGGCCGGTACATGGTACCAAATTCGTGTACATGCACGAAAACTTACACACTTTCGCGCACTCCCCGAAACACATTTTTGTTTCGGTTTATGCCATTCTGTAGCCAGAAGATTTGTATGCACTGGTGTGAAAACCGTTTGTGCGCGCAACATCCGGTTCGGGAGTTATGACTGTTAGAAAATTCCAAAAAGTTTAAATGCATTCCGGTGTACCAAAAGTCTCATTATGGACGGATCTCCTTCAAATTTTGCACGTAAATGCACATAACCATGAAGATCGTTTTTACACCGATCCACCGTTCAAGCATGTTTTTCAAATTTTAAAATGGATTTCAAAAATTTTAAAATTCATTTTAAAATTCGAAAAAAATCATGGAAGTCTGGATCGGTGTAAAAACGATCTTATTTGTTATGTTCATTTACGTGCAAAATTTGAAGGAGATCGGTCCATAATGAGACTTTTGGTACACCTGAATGCATTTAAACTTTTTGGAATTTTCTAACAGCCATATCTCCCGAACCGGATGTTGCGCGCACAAACGGTTTTCACACCAGTGTAAACAAATCTTCTGGCTACAGAATGTCATAAACCGAAACAAAAATGTGTTTGGGAGTGCGCGAAAGTGTAAGTTTTCGTGCATGTACACGAATTTGGTACCATGTACCGGCCCACTTCCCTTTAAGAAAATTACTTCATATTTGATAAATTATTAGTGAATAATAACGTTATGTTTTTTTTTGTGCTCAGGATTTTGATAATGGGAACCGGAAAAATCTGCAACATTTCCCGCTTGGTCTCTAAAATCCATGTTGACCAGATCATCGACCACGTGGCAAATAACTGCCCGCGCATCGAACGTCTGGAAATACGTTGGGATCCGACAAATCTGCGCTTTAGCGACAAGAGCAGCAAATTTGTCGATACACTCCGTGTGAAAGCCGGTCGGCTACGTTCCCTGTGTTTGTCGGATGGAGAATATTTCGAACTGGTTAAATCAAATTTTGAACGCGCACACCGGCGCATGGTCGTCCGTACCACAGTGTGCTGTAGCACGACCTTACTGCCACTTCTGCCCTATTACAAAGACCTAAGGTTTAACTGATTGACTACCTTTTTGTTTTTCCAGTTGACAGTGCTTTTTCTTGGTGAACAGTGTACAAACTGTGCGGATACTTGTAATGTCTATGTTCGTTAAATTCTGCCGTGTACTTACCTTAAGTTTCATATTGAAATCAGTATTTACTGATTTTCATAGTGAAAATTTTAAATAGAAATCTGAATGGTGAATTTGTTAACGTAACATGAGATTTGATAAAAAGACTGTAATCAAGGGTAAAGTTTAAAAGATTAAAACGCCCACGCTACGCGTGAACATCCTTTAGTGTCAGCTTATTTAAAACAGAGACACAGAGACACCAAATATTCACAGATTTAATACACTCAGTATTGTGTTTTAAGTTTATCAGCCGTACCCCCATTTAGTACGCAAAATGTCAAATATACTCAAGGAAATTTCGTGACTGCTACACCCCGCTTACTATTATTTCATCTAAAACTGGTTTGTGTAATCCTTAACAGTACTATGGTGCCGTTTGACTTTCATCGTTACGTTCGTGACGACTTGCTCTTTTGATAAAGTGAGATTTTAATCGAAAGAGAAGTTATCAAATGGGTTAAATCTGCGGTGACTTTACCCTGTTTACGCAACGGAGTGCTGTACTATACGGTAGGGTCTGAGTAGATACTTCCATGCATTTCGGTACAAAAAATTCGAGCTGCGACACCATCGTGTGACGCATTATGTTATGAAAAAGGGCTGTTTTCCATAATACATGACGTGTAAGATATTAATTTTCCATGTTATACGAGATTACAATAATGTGGTGAAACTAGATATCCGGTTCACCTTACTTATTGCTGACGTAGTATGCACAATCTCATGATATACAATATTCATTCTCTTCGGATGATATCCATAATACTTCGGCGTTAACTAATAGGTTTATGTTTAGGCTGAAGTTGCAGGCGTGACCCGGATGGCATATCCAATAATTCCAATTCCCTTAATTCAAGCACAATCTCATACAGCGCTAATGGTTATTAATTTTCAGTATACCTACCTTACTATTTTTGGCTCATGCTGCATCCGGTTTCAAGTTTCTGTGTTGTTGTGAGCAATATGTAATTCATTCTTCGAATAAATTATTTGGAAACAGTGAATGACGCATGCATAGGACATAATAATAAGTATGTTATATTTCGCGTCCTAAAGATTAATACGCACCACCTTATTTCATTTCAAATCACACAACATAAACAGCAAGATCCACGCAGCCTACACGCCAAGTAACGTCGATCATTGTTTCGCATTTTTATCATTAGTTTTGATTCACGTTAGAAATAAAATAAAAACAGCTAGCTTTGAAAAAAATTAAACAACATACACCTACTAAGAATTTTTACAAACAGCTCTGTTTTAAACTTACAAACAGTTCTGTTGATTTTGTTCGCAAGAAAAATAAACATTTTTCGCGCACCCAACAGCAGAGAAAACGTTGATTTGAAAGCAATAATGTTCCGTCGGTCAGTAGTTTTTAAGCGGAGTCGTTGCAATGCCGCATGAATTCCCTTTCGCGCTATCAGGAATTTTCACCAGGCCACTGTCGTTATGCGACTGCTGCTTTTGATGGCTGAGCTGAACAGTGTAAAGCAGATCGATACAGCGCTTTCGAAGTGATTTCCGGTATTCCGGGTTTACGGCAAAAAAGAAAACCTGTAAAATAAATCGGGGGAAATTAAATCCAATTAACTTTGTCAGAGTCTCGTGATTTTCGTAGAATTTTAAAGAAAATGGGTAGGTGATATGTGTAGCTAGAAATCAGTACATGATGTACATCATAAGGTTAATCATTAATTATCGTCTTCTTAAATTAACGGTACACAATCTATTTACCGGACTCGCAGCATAGCCAAGTACTTGAGCGCCTCTTGTATACAACAACAATTTGATCTCCTTATTCCACCAAGTCGCATAAAACATATTCAAAACTGCCGGCGGTAATATGCAGATGCAGTACCAGACATAAGACAAAAACAACGCTTTAGCAAGCGACATCCGTTTCTTCATCACAAGACGTTGGTGTATCTCGTTAGCCGTATCGGTGCTTAGATTGCCGCGCCCTTTCATTAATCGCGAAATGAGAAACAAACTAATGTAGATCATCCCCAACAGTACAATCGGCAGGTAAGTCCCGGTGGCGCCCAGTATTGTAAAGGTCGCGCCCTTGTTCTGGGTGAGTCCGCACGCACCCGAATGCAGCATGCCAGAGCGTAATCCATTTACGAAGTTCAATGTCGGAATGCTGCACGCAAAGGCGATGACCCACACAATAACTAACAGCAATGTGGAGAATCGCCGCGATGTGATTCTCGTATAGAAATGTGGCAGGGCCACCGCGATTAGCCGGTTAACCGCCAAGACGACGTTCGTCCAATTTCCGGCATAGATGATGAGCAGTAAGAAAAATTCCACAAAAACACAGTCATAGGAGAAAGTTATGTGGGATTGCGTTAAGTAAATGGGCAGTACCGCCACCGGACTGACAATTAGACAAAAGGTCAGGTCGATCGTCAGAGAGTGCGCGATGAGCAGACCGGAGCCGCTCTTCAGTTTGCCGAGTTTCGACATAGTATTGAGTAGTACAACAATGAGGATGGCGCCAATTACGCCGATACCGAACTGGAAAGTAATCCAGATATTTAGCTCCACTTTGGTCAGAGATTTTGTGCTGTTAGATGAGATATTAGATGAATTCCATGGAGCCGACATTTTCCAGTTGCATTCAGCATCCAAATAATTTTGCACCAGGTAAGATATGTCAGGTTTGTCCGTTCTGTCCAAGTTCAGGTTGAATTAGGCAGATTATGCCGCAAATAGCAGCGTCACCAAACAAATTCAAGTAAAGATGTTCAGGTGAAAATCAATGCAATAACTCACGGCCGAGTTTGGTATTTCTTAATCATTGGGATGTGGCTCCAAGAATCGTCCCACGTGTACAGTAAAGTGATACGAGCAAACATCTTTAAGGCTTCTTTAACAGGTTACTAAACAAAAACACTTCGGCGAAAGGAGATTAAGCGTTCTGGAGAGGCGGAAGTCGATCCCTGATTCCGAGCGTAGATTAAAAAAAATCCTAGTTTTGCGATATCTGCTATGGAAATCAAAGTCGCCCGATGAAGATGTCGTAAATAAGAAGAAAAGGAGAGATTTCAAATAAAATCACTTTGTTTCTGAGTACGTAACAGCGGCGTCGCCAAATTCCATCGCTGACGTAACATTTTTGTAACAGTTAATTTTATTTATCCGCACTATAATAACTGGCAATGTTTGAAGCAGAATCCATTATGGAAAGTTACCGATGCCGAAGGAGAATTAGCGGCAGACATCACCAAACAACCGGAAATGAATCTAAGCGCTCCTTATAACAAACCATTCGAGCGCGTAAAATACGGCACGTGGGCGTGCGTCAGAGCAGTCACGTCGCCGTTCGACGCATCTGTGCAGTATATTTACAGGTTGTACTACTACCGTAGTATGTATAATATGTCACCGGCAAACATACCCCTCGTTCATAATATAATATTCTGACCCCGCGTTGCCCGCACTACCTTTGTCGATACCGTTTTACCTCTGTACGTGTATTTAGGCCGGCTTCTTGTACCTAATTTAGTTGAGAGCACAGGTACGCAATGCGCTCCACGTCGGAAAACAGGGAGTACCGTGGGATGTTGCCGGTATTAGCCCAATTTCACTATACACTCCCCCTAGTCTATGCATTTATTTAAGAGCATCGAATGAAGTTTCTTGGTAGCGCTCACTCAAGAATTGTATTGTAACACTGTTTGCACCGTCAGAAACTGGAATTAAAATAATTGCTAAGATGGTTGATTGGCGAAGTTGGAGAGTTACGTTGCCACTTGTGGCCGCTGCCTGTGGTATTCCACTAAATTTAATACGTACTAAAAAATATCACGTAATATCTTCACATCCTTGGAAGAAATGCTACGAGTATAATATTATAATAGTACATCAGCGCGTAAACACGTTGCAGCAAAAATCGAAGCACAGTAGATGAATATGTTTATCTAACATTATTGCACTATCTGTATAAAACTGCTGTAGAAGATCTCACTTTTACTTATTTAACATTGCCCTAAATGTTTATGAAACACCAATACATAATTTAATTATGAGCGACTCAGCGAATACAAATAAATATAAAGATACAGACAGCATTCAAAAAAGTTGCATCGTACAGCGCTAACTTAAAGCGGAAACAAACGGCCAAATTACAGAAAACATCTGGTCTAAATTAGCCGAGTGTGGCGCCGATCCCAAGATGAATGCCACGTTTGCACGTTGAATTTTGACGCTGATCCTGATACATTATTTCAATACACCGGTACTTCTGGTAAGTGGAAACGAAATAAATTTGATGCAAAAAAGTTGAAATCTCTAAAATTGTTTATTCCACAATGAAAAGCAAAACTTCTGGACATATATATGAAGGCGCGAATTATACAGTTATGTATAAATTCAGCAACAACTTTGTACAGCGTGCACTTATTATACCTAATTTATTTAGGAAGCCAACCACTTTCGATAAAGTTACAATAGTATTACAAGCGCATTTATCACTGGAAACAAAACAGTCTCAATATGAATAGGTGAAGTCGGGAGGTATCAAAACAAACGTTACGCAACCACAAAACATTTTCGGTTATTCTGATCTTTGTTGCTAATAGTTATTGTTGTTATTCAGCAGTTACGTACTAAAAAATCCAAAATGACAATTATTCGCAGTATGTTGGTGCACTGTCAGTTTTAAGGCATTTATAGCTAGCTATCGCACTTGCAAAACTAATGCTGTACAGTATAACGAACAGATGATACGTACGTGTACAGATACTACGCAGTATCTGTGAAGGTCAATGTCAAAACTCCGGCGGAAATTCTGGTGGTCAAACCGCCGGCGGAATTTTGGTAACTTTTTAGTTTCATTTACAGTGCATACTTAAAAACAACTTTGCAAGGAAAGGTGTTTTTACATAGATTCGGGCGTTTGTTTATTATTGTTGACTGTGTTTTTGCCGAACGACGAAGCATGTTTGAGAGCTAACAGTACTCTGTAGTATGATTTTGTTTCGAGCCCAGTAGTACATTCATAGTGTTGTAATCTTGAAAGTACTTTTTGTATCTTGTATTTGTAAGTACTTGGAATCGCTTTAACAATAAGTCTGTTTTTTATCAATTTAGGTTTTCCGCAAAAAAAATGGACGTGCAGAAATTCCGCCGGCGTTTTGACCACATAAAATTTTCGCAGGCGCGGCCAGCTGTAGCTGCAGTGCGCTGTGAATTAAGGGATTTAGCCCGGTACATACCGGTAGTACCAACTTCGTGGATCTAAACCGTTACTCGCCGGCATAAAATTCTCCCAGCCGGGTCCACTCTGTGGCATGCGGAATTAAAAAACCCAAGCCTTACTCGTATTATTTTCTGGAATCTGAACGTCGGCAGCACGTCGTCGTTGGACCAAAATGCCGACGATTTTGTACTAACGATATTTCACCGTTTATCGTTAATTCGTGATGTTTCTCGCTATCGGAATATTTGCACAATATGAGTACGATATCTTCGCATTTCAGACACCAGAAACACGGAATTCTCCACGTTGTTCTACATAAAAAACGATTGTACAAACGTTTTGATCATGAAAAGTCATGAAAAGTCATTCAATACGTTTTAAACAAAAGTTTTCGCTGCATAGATATCGTATAAATACAAAATTTAAAAATTTATATGGATTAATAACGGAAAGGGCAGTTAACAAAGCACACTACAGCCTAAAAGAATCCGATGCCATAATGAAGTTTTCGCAAGTTGCTACATGTGTTCTTATGTGGATAATAATTACATAATTTACCTCTCTCTGTACAGCGATAATCTTTGAAAGAAAATACTTTACACTCACGAGTTACGACCGCAGTTTTAGTCTACTTGCAAAACTGCCTATGGAAGCAGAACAGATACACCGTGTCAGAACCTAAACCACACATCCTTATGAAGTGGACCAGGGCAACGTCCTGTTCCTCAGAAAAATTTCAATATCAGCGTACACACGTCGGCGAATTTGCTTAATAGGTTCAAAGAAACATGTCCACTTCCTCGTACACGTGATGGAAACTAAAATTTCGCCAAATCTTAATATAAAATCGGCTACCATGACACTTTACCTAGCAACTTCCGTGAAATGTAGCGCGTCTTCTGTACAGCTACATAGTGTTCGCATCTTTGCTTTGTTATTTTAATTGGCAGAACTTCTGAACCGGTTTCGGGCCTTCAGACCACCCGGCAAAGTTCACCTACTGCCATTTTTTTTACTTTTTCCTCTCATCATGCTGCCGCCCATCTCGTTTTTGATCTTGGGCGCGAGTATTTCGCTTATCGTAAGTGTCAGTTCCGAAAACTTAGTGCACTTATGACAAACAGTGCTACCTCAACTTTTGTAATGATTAATAATTTTTTAGCGCACTGTAGAAATGCAGCCATACACAACCTTCGAAGAAACCCACCGGATCAATCCGGAATTCGGTATGCCGAAGCACAATGCCACAACTGTCGTTCCAGCAGCACTACATAACAATGTATTCCGAGAGCCTGATTATCCGAATGGACAGCCACTTCCGATGCAGTATCGGAGTATGCCTGCACTCTTCGACCCGGCATCCACTGGAGAAACACATGTTAATCACTCCCGGAAACTTCCCGGGCTCGCACAACCGGCTACGTTTATCCATACTGGAGAGAATCTCAACATAACGGCAGAAAGAGTTCAGGCAGAAGAAGCGGCAGCAGCGAATACAACGCCATCACCTTGCGGTCCCGATGTCCACCCTGACGATTGTATTGACGACAACCTTGACGTTACTAATAGTACGGAATCGATACCCGAAACGACAACACCATTCGAACCTGTCAACGAGCCGGAATTCCTCAAGCTGCTGATCGGCCGCGATCTCGAAAACAGCACAGATACTCGGGGTTAATTTTTCAAATGTTTCTTGTTTTATTTTGTTTGTAACGCATTCCCGCCGTTTGATCCTGCAGAGCAAATATTAAGTTGCTTGATAGTGTTGAGAAAAGTGCCGGGAACGCCGGGAACGTTACTTGAAACTGCGTAGGATCACTGTTTTCCTGTTTTTTATTGTCTGCCAACTTTTAAATTATCTGTTACAAAATTGCAGCTAGTTAGTTATTTTTTTTCTATCATGGCGAAGTAGGTTCACTACAGGCAACAACAACAGATTGTGTTAAATTAATGTTTTTAATGTGTTACGATTTTTCGCTGCTATGCAATTTGATAAAAAAAGTTGCGCTGCATTGCGGCGAGCCGGCTACGATATCAAATTCATTTTGTACAATGAGACAAAAATTTTGTAAATCTGATGGAATTACAGTTAAAGTATTGATCAAATTAAACGTAATAAAATCATAATACATCATGTAAATTCTTTCGTATCTAAGCACTAATTGTGTTGGTCCAGCCAGTCCCAGCAACAAAGTGGGCACAAGGTTCCCGCTTTGCTTGCTCAGCAAAAAGTACTTGACCGCATAAATAAGTAACAAAACAGATATCAATCAAGAATACACACAAAAGAAACGTACACGGGCAGCGATGTTCATAAATTACAAACTGCTGGACTGTTGTCTAAAAGGTGCAGAGGTATTTCCACTTTGTTGCCGAACGTAGGGCGCCAAACTGCCTGTGAAAGCAGTATATCCACATCGTGTCAGAATCGAAGCCGCTCACTTTGTGAAAACAGCGAAGTGGATACGGAAAACGTCCTTTTCCTCCAAGAAATTTCCATATCAGCACATTTACACAATTAAGACAATTTCATTTTCTGCACTTTTAACTGAATTCTGCATATCAGATTCACAGAAACATTTCTGTTTCTTCGTACGCACTAAGAAAACTAAAGTGTTGTTGAATTTTACTATAAAACCGGGTACAATGCTTCCTGTTGGTAACGGCCGGCATATCGGCATGTTGCACAAATTTTACTGCTTTCAGTTTACGCTTAAATGCCGTTACTTGCGTATCGATTACTGCTCTAAATTTGGACTTATGCGCAATCAGTTCAGGAAATTTTGTGAAGAGCTACAATCCGCCATTGCTCTAAACCATGCTATCATTCAACGGGATGCTGATCCTCGGTGGGAGTGCTTTATTTATCGTACGTGTGAATTCAAGAATTTTATTTGGTACAAACATAGCGACGTTAGAGTTTTTGTAACCTATAGTGCATCGTGGAAACGCGACCGTATAAAACATACGAAGAAAAACACCGGATTATCCTGGAATTCGGCATGCCGCAGGCTAATCTAACAACCGCGACTGCAACACCAGTGATCAGAAATGTACTCCTGGCGCCCGATCGTCCCAGTAGTCCAGCACCCCCGATGCATTATCGGAGTATGCCTGCGTTCCTTGACCCGGCATCCATAGGAAAAGCATCTGATGGGCACTTGAGGAATCACCCTGGCCTCGTTCAACCGGCTACTTTTATCCATACTGGAGAGCACCTTAACATAACAGCGGAAAGGATTCAAGAAGAAGAAGAGGCCGCACGGCACACTACGGAATCGCCCTGCGGCCCTGACGTCGTTCCGGAAGATTGTATTGACGACGAAATTAGTACGACGGAAGCGCCACCCGAAACTACCACGCCGTACGACCCTCTCAAAGACTCGGACTTCGTAAAAATTCTGGTGGGATTAACGGGACGCGAATTAGATGACGATGGACCAGAAGATGTTTGGATTAGTATTCCGGATTAGCACTTATATGATCGCATTCAATTGCATCATGGCATTTGGATGGGATCCCGCAGAACGCATTTCTATGATTTTCATTCTGATTGTCATATTGTGGAAATTTGCAAGATGCTGCATGAGACCTGGACCCTGCATTTTTTTCGCGTGGTTTTAATCCCTAAAAATTGTTGATAAACAGTTAGCTAAATTATTCGCTTAAATACTGTACGGAGTCAAGTTAGAGTAAATAATAGTGAATCAGTTTAGTTTAACGATTTTGTGTAAATACGCGATATTTGCGCGCCCAGTGCGTTCAATGCCACGCCACCTGCGACAATTGTTTTGTATATAAATGGCACATTGTATTGCAATTCTGGGACGATTTAAAGTTTTTATGTGTAAACTGTAAACCCAGAAAATCGAACTGAAGTACAAGTACAGATGATTACGTACTAGTACTAAGCACCAGGCCATCGCCTTACTCAAGGGGCTTCACTGTATTGTGTACAGTGAAGTCTGTGTTGTATGAAATACAATACAGCCCCTAGAGAACCGCGTTGCATAGGCCAAATGAGCGCATCTAACAGTACTTATTGATTTAATTTGTGTGAGAAAACGCAGAAACAAAACGCACTTGACTGCATACATAAGGTACAACCGGCATTACAGTATGTAATAATATCAAATATGTACTTACAACGTTACAATAAACAGGTATAGTTTTTACAATCACGAAAGGTAAAGTACGTTGTTACTAATGCCTTTCCATATTATACAGCTGTCACATTATTAATGACATTTCCGATTGTTGCCATGCTTGGTAAGCGAAACTAAGTTAGGAAGCGGCATTCACCTATATATACCGTGTCAGAATCAAAGCCACTCAATATGTGAAGTGGGCACGGATAACTTCCTGTTTCTCCAAGAAATTTCCATATCAGCATTCAGCACCTTTGTGCACATAAGGCAGTTCGGCCAAGCCGATTCAGAGAATCTTCCTTCTTGTAAAAATTTCTTCTTTGTATAAATGACAAAGCTCAATAAACTGGGAAATTCAATTACGATGAAAATGGTTAGCGCTTAGCGAGTTTTATTCCTCATGGCAATATACAGATAGATGTACATGTACAGATAGCTCATACCATCATATCAAACCTGAATTACACGGTCACATTTTACAAAATATTTGTGCACTAAACATTTTCCTTGTAACCAGTCACTGAACTGAAATACGATATTTTGCAAGGGAACGAGTACGGTATTTTGACTTTTATATGAGTTTTGTATTCCTGGGAGGAATAGTTAATAAGAATATATTCAAATCATCATGTTATAATATGACCGATGCCTGATGACATAGTGCAGTAATCGCAGAAATTTTTTTATTTTAGAGTGCGCATTCGAAACGCGATCTTTCAACTTGACGCCCATTCCCAGAAGAATGCGCAGAGTGCGCACACAGAACTGCTGAAAAATAACCAGCGGCCGCGGCGTTCACCCGTTTGAGCCCGAGATTTCAACGAGCGCGAAAACCAAGCCTGACCGTTAAAACTGTTCGTCTACCATTCGGAAACAACGCCCCCACTGGGACCGCTACGTTCATCCATACCGATCGCCCTGATCTGGCCACCAAAAGAAATCGCAACATTAAATTGAGCGGGACACCAAATTTCATGAGCGGGACACCAAAATCTGTAGATCACTATATTATAGTATCGTCTTCGCTAAATTTTTATTTTGTGTATAAATATATAAATTTATACACGACTACATTTTTCAGCGATTTTACAGTGTGTTCTTGGTTGTTGTCATAATTGCTTTTCGTTATTTCACGCACCAGCACAGGTTGTTGTACGGATACAATGCCATCGCAATTCTTACTCGAAAATGTCGAGAAACACAGCTTAAAACATGCGATTTACATATTGAATATTATATAATTTCATTTAACCTCCCGGCAATGCCCTCCGTTACCGAATACGGGAACCAATAAGTACCTGCACCATGCGGCACTTATTTCCCGGCCCTCCCATTCCGTAACAACGCAATTTTTCAAGGGAACAACCTTTGGGAAACCTAAGAACCCTACAGAAGGGTTTACGCAAAATACTGACCCCGAAATATATAAAATACTTCTTAGACAACATTTCAAGACTATGTGTTGTTAGAATGTATTCAAATATTTAACGTAAATTTTTTGACTTTCCAGTAAGACTTCAAATGCGTAAATAATATGTGGTTTCCAAGTGTCTGTTCTTAGAAAAACATTTACACGGTCAGCGGCCAGGTGACAAAGCAGCATTTTAAGCGTTTTCGTCAGAAATTCAACAAACCGGCTTGTGTCAGAACGGAAACGCTTGTTCTTCTCACTAACTGTAGGCTGACTACGATGGTTTTCCTTGCACACTGCTCGTATTCTGCTAATTTCGCTTTAGTTGCGCTTCTAACAGGAAAGTTTTTTTAAAGTTTGCTCATTTTAATTGGCAAATATCACGTACTTTATCGGTGATCATTAATTCGGTTCCATAATTTTGCTTTGCCACGGTTGGTTATCAGTCGGCGATGTCATTGAAGAGTGCGATGTCGTGCAACGGAGCAATTACACTCGCCATGGTTCTTTTATCGCTATCTATAATGGTACGAATAACCTGGCTTTTAGTATAGATAAGGTTGTGATCGCATTGTGCAATATAAGATTGTTTTTGCTATTTCGTAGTCGGCCGTGGCAATGCGCCCATATAAGATAGTGGAAAAAAAATACAAAGTCATGTGGGATTTCGGTAACGTTGAAAAAGTTGAAGCACCGGCAGTAGCGCTCCCTGCCCAAGGCCGAAGTATTGGTCTGAGATTCGGATCAAACCCATGGGGTCTGATTGCGACCGATGATCCATTTGAGACCACAACCACTGAAGTAACGACGACAACGTCGCCTGGAGAACCAGAAACGACAACTTGGCTACTTGCGGCTTTTTATGAATTTATGTTCGGATAATTGTCTCTACTCGCAAAACAAAAGTGCATCATTTTGTTACAAGCTGTTTAGTACATTCATTTTTTGAACAGTTACAGTTAATTGTTTTGTAAGCCTGTTGCGCGCTCATTTCCAATGAATATATATCAAGTGGTTTCGAAGGTACAAATATTAGGTGCAAATCATTCTGTCCAAAGCAACGGTATATTAAATTTGAAATGCTTTAAATTTATGTACAAGATCGTGTAACGTGAAAGCTACGCACTTTGTTCATTTTGTTTATGTGTACATTGCCTGCGTTTTCATATCTTTGGACGATATTAAAAAAATTAAAGATCGATACTAACCGTAAAACGACCTAGGAATACAGAACAGATATATGGTGTCAGAACCTGAACCGTTTTCCATTTAGAAGTGGACTTGGGACAACGTCCTCTTCTTCCGAGAAATTTCCACATCAGCGCTTTACGCACTTATGCACATTTGCTTATCAGATCTACAGAACTAGTTTCAACTTCCTCGTACACGCGATTTAATTAAAATGTTGTCAAATTCAACACGAAACCGTCAAGTTGTCAACCATGATATTTACTTGAGCAATTTGCGCATCTGCGGTATCGCATACATTGTTTTTTGGGTTTAATTTCTACTGTCGGCACTTTTGCACCGCCTTCATTAAAAATACCCGAAATAAGTTTAGCCACCTTCGAATAACATGCCATTGTTCAACATGATTTTAACCTTCCGCATGAATACTTCGTTTATCGTAAGCATAGATTCAAAAAAGTGATTGTACTGGCGATTAATAATGGGACGATAGTCTGTAGCTGTATGTGCGCTCGTATAAAATGACAATTAACAACGTTAATTGATGTTAATGTTAGCTGGAGGATGTGTGCTCTCGCGTTTCCCTTTTCGCCGTGTGTAGGCAGCTACCTGTGTTGGTGGCGCTGCGAGTTGCTGTGGCCGCTTAGATCAAAGCAGCCGCCGGCACTCACGCGCCTGCTTTTGCTCTCGGCACTGTTTCTGTGCCCGCGTTGGGTTCTGCATTTCTTGTTCGTGTGCGCGCGAGTGATTTGTTCTTTACCACCCGCCACACCCTGCTGTTGTGCTGCTGTTATTTCGCGTTGCTCAATAAAGGGGCCTTCGGTTGCGCAGGGCACTGGTCGCTCTCTTGCGCCGACCCCCGGTCGGCCGGCTTCTCGCTGACCCAGGGTCACCGCACACAGCCGATCACGAGAGTACCAGCCGCCCAGCAGCCGGGGTTCCAGCACCCCCCAGTGGATTCCGGAAGCGGTAACATTAATCATCATTTAATGTAATGTGGAAATGCGTCCGCAATGACTCCGCATACAACGTTCCAATAACCACACGGACTCATCCTGGAATGCGGCAGCACAGTGATCCACCTGCATTTACGGCACCACTCCTTGGGTATTGTATATACTTTCGGATGCTTTTTAAACAATCTCGAATATGCCTGATCAGCACAGCACTGATCACCACATCTAGTTCTGCTGAGAATAATGAAAAAAAGAACTTAACCTGTTTCTTCCCATTGATATCAAAGTGATACCGTGGAGGGCTTTTGCTCCTGCACCTGAACGCATCATGGGAATTTTGATTTTTCAGTTTGATTAGCGAGTTAAGATGTGGAGGCCTATTTTACAAAACTTGACCACTAAGTATAAGTCTAACGTGCACTCGCCAGTGGTCACCAAAGTCGGCCATTTTTTTATCCACGGGTGACCGGAGGTCGCTAACACCTCCTGGCCATCCGCGTGATGCGAAAAAATCTAAATAAATGGGTTAGGTAGTTGACTCTATGTGTTACCTGATACAACCTAAATTTTTGTAATATGTGAAATGGATGATCACTGGCGATCTTTTAAAGAACATGGTATCATTTTGACAACAACGGGCAATGGGGTACATTACAGCCATTATACAAAATTTCCTAATAAACTCAGTATAAGTCGCAACATTCTGCAAATTGGTATTCTAAGACAACGTTTTATGGGCTTTCAACTGGAAGTGTTTTGGTGGTCACCGAAGTGACCACCATCCAGTTGCGAAAATTGATGCCCCATGAAATAGATATTCTTTTCCTTTTTTTTTGCGGCCGAAAGTTATTGTTGCAGGACAACTGCATGCAGACAAATGTGATAAGCAAACGATGGTCAGTGGTCACTAATACGGCACTGTGTGTTTATCAGCGTGCGCTATACCGTTGAATACGA